AACGACTTCTCTATCGCGTAGTCACTCGTGATGAGAAATACGACAGTTACAACGACGTTGCGCACAAGTTAGTTTAAAATGATAGCAGACTTACGCTGCATCTACCGCTCTCTCTCTCTCTGCTCCAAAGCCTGGCCTCGGTGTCAAGACAGAGTCAAGGATACCGGGGCCGGAGAGGACATAGGTGGTTGGGACGACGAAAACGCACTCCTAGCCGTACCACCACACGCTCTGCTCCACAACGTGCGCTGACCAAGATTTTACACCAATTAAGCGCGATAGGGATGGGACGGACCCCATTTTGCGCGGCTTAAGCCTGAAACGGGGCGCATCACCACACCTCAATAGTGCTATTTGTTACTTGTGCGCATTATCGAAAACATATTCCAGATTCTGATGTAGCTCCTGCGTTGATTCAGCGCATCTAGGGAGTGGTCCCTTTAAGGGGCAGGGGTGATGAGAAATAGCTGCAATGAAAATGAACACTCGATCACTGGGACAGTACATGTATTAGTCTAAGCTTTCGGGCTCGTACGGGAGGCCATCGTCGACAGTTCGACCGTCGGTTTCGGCGACGTCCACCATGTGCTACAAAACAGAGGTGAGAGCACGGACGGTGACTAGTGCGAAAATTTAGCTTATGGTGATAGTAGGCTTGCACAGTATCTACTGCATCCTCTCCTCCCCCACCTGGGCCCTGTTTCAAGACAGAATCAAGAAGACCGGAGGCGGGGGATGGCATGGTTGGATGTCAAGATCGAACATGCACCTTAGGATTCCACACTACACCCCCTGGTTCACACAAAGAATAACCAGACTTTTGATTTGCAACAACAAAACTGAAGGACATAGGGGTGGCAGGGTCCCAGTGTGCGCTGCGTACGCCGGCAACTTGGTTCGACACCGCACGCCAGAAATGTTGGCATTTGTTATGGTGCGCCAGTCCGGTAACGCCTGACGGAATCCGATATTGTCCCCGTATTGGCCCAGCGCATCTACCACGTGGCCCGTTTGGGAGGGCATCGCCAGAGCGTCAGAGGAGCAGTTTTTGTAGTCAAAAAAGAAAGGGGGGTAGGACTGCAGGGTGTGGTGCTCGCGACAAGGCTGAGTCCACGCCGTCTCATGGCGTCGTGACGGCGTGCACCCTTGGTTCGGAGGTGAGTTGCGCCTCATGACCACGAGGATGACGCGCGTGATAGCCGGATAACGATGTGTCTGCTGATGGAGTTGGTGTTAGATACCCAGGCCTCCAGCTGCCCTTGCGCTGTCTTACTGCTGGTTCGCGCCATTAGCCGCGTGTTCGCGAAGTTAAATTCGTGGCCTTCCTCCCCCGCAGTCTTATCCCCTTCTTTGTTTGACTACGAAGACTGCTCATCTGACGCTGCATTCTCACAGCCTCTGACAATCGCCTCCTATACGAGACGGAAAGCTCAGATTAATAACTGTACTGTTCCAGTGATCGCGTGTTCATCTACTTTGCAACAAGAACCTGGGACTCGCATATTCGCTTCCATCCATGAGAAATAGTGTCCCTATGAAGATATAAAGTAAAGAAAATAAGTGGGTGGGCCCTATTTAATTAGCAACACATTATCCAAAACGGAGTCCTCATTCCCCAAAGACCACGAATTGCGTATGACGAGATTGGCAGGACGTACTCCACTATGAAGTGCTTGAGGAGGACAAACGATGGACTGAAACCTATAAACAGTCCGACTACATCGTTTAAGTGAAGTTATTTAACAAAACCTGCCCCACTGCCAAGGCCAACGGATTTTGCAGAATGGAAACGCCTGACGCCTGACAGTTTTATTTGTCGAAATGGCCGTCCACGAGCTCATCTCGGACGTTCCGCCACACTCAGCCCACAGTCACGATCTCACTCTGTTTGACTATCACTTGTTCTGACCATTTTAAAACCAAGTGGGCAACGTCGAATCAGAAAGAGAGGGGAAACCCCAAAACGCGCCTTCAAATAATCAGTAATACTTGAAACTACAAAGCAAACTGTCCGGAAAGATTGCATTTAAAAACATCGTCGATTTTTCGACGAAAACGTCCACCATCAGAGAAAATACAGGAAACTAGACGAACATACAGACCCTTTTATATCCCCCTGGTGCATCGACTGCGGATGACCTAGGAAACGTGGGACGCCCATGAGACCATGGGTAGCCATCGAATTGAGAAGGACATCATATCGGCTTATGTAGGTGCATTGCGATGTACAGGTATCGCTCAGATCTCGTCAAACTTCGTCCAGCATTGCTCCAACGAAGCCATTTTTCGATCTGCGAAAAAAGGCATGGACAGTAACCTTGAGCCGCCGATACCTCCTCCACACCCCTGTTCTGTCCTCGTGTATTTGAGAAGTGAGCATGCCTGCGGTCTGACCAGTATAACTACAGGCGCAACTTCGCCATTAAATGAGGTGAGTGACATTAACTTCCAGTGCGACGCTTCCGCTCGGTGGCATACGGATAGTTGCTAACACTCGTCAATAACTGTTTCTGTGCCACTTCACAACAGAAGTGGGTTCTACCTACTCCAGTTCTTTTTGCACTAACTAAAATAGGATACAAATCGTAGATGGGTAAAACTGCTGATTGGTCCATTTCCTGTGAACTGTTCGATTATATACCGAGATGTTTTCTGTTCTTCTCAAAGCCATTGAGACGTGTTTTCTTAATATTCTATGGTAGAGTAGGATAACTGACTTTAGATACACCAGCAGAAAATCTGATAATTAATATACCCATGAAGCAAGGGTCACAGAAATGCGCTTTCAATTTCTTTTCATTTTTCTTTTGAGATCTGAGTGTGAGGAATCACTCTGCCGGGGAATTCGTGCATACTTGAAGATGTGCCCTTTTTACGTTTACCACATATTCGCAATGACCGAACTGAACTGAAAATCTGTCAACCCACAGAGTTCCACCGAATGTAAATGATGTTCGTAGGTAACAATTCAAGGTTTAATATTAAGGAATCATGGAGGTTCACCACAGTTGAAAGCGCCTATACGTAGTCTTTCGCGCCAATGTCGGCGGCGAGAATAGTAAGACGGAGGACGCATTGAGTGATGCGACAACTTGGTCCGGCTAAACAGTATGCACTTTCTGTTTAATGTGCTGGCGATTGGTCGAATTGTTCTAAGCTTTAAGATCTAAAGGAAGTTCCGACTGCCGGTCATGTAACTGATCATGTCACACACAGAACTATCTGTCAGTGAATCTGATAATCCTGGGACAAAAATAAGCTTATGAATTTTGACCAAACAATGAAGTTTGACTAACGGAAACCAGCTACATCTACCGGACGCTATTTGCCTTATGAGATCATCTATTGCTCCGATATTATTTAAGAAAACCACCTATTTGGCAGATCATTCAAATGAAGTATGATGTGGTTGTCGGTTAGTGTGACCGTTGGTGGTACCTCCTTTTCGTAATTGATTAGGTTCATTAAGACCGCTGCATTCCGGCTGTTAGTCAGCGGTACTCTAATAGGCCAGTCTATTTTTCGCTTGTTCATTCAGTCGGTTTCGCGGTCTGCATAGTGTCGTTAGGTCTATTCGCATCGGTAGATGACGAGCTGGCGAATGGCGGGTTTGCCCACAGAAATTGTTCTGGTTCTCAATAGCCTCGTCTCCAGAGCAGCGACGAGGCGACAAACTATCACAGGGGGCTAACCACGCGTACGAAACGGTCCAGGAAGACACGAAGATGATGATCAACAGGAGAGGCAAGGCATGCCGTAAACTGATTGGCGTCCGGTCCCTAGGTAGGAACTCAGTCAATCAATGTGTCCATCTGGCACTCTCATACAGAGCCCTGCTAAGGTTTGTTTGGCTAATATCCCGAAAACTGTCGTCAGTTTTGATATGATTTGAAACTCTGAGGATGAATTCCTGTGCAATTCCTAAAGCTCAGACAAATGACGAAATGGTTCAGGAAACTGCACAGTCTTCGGCTCCCGTACTCGCTCGTCTATACACCGAAGAATATAATGCAATATGCGTAAAGATCTGAGGTCCAGATATATTACCGTGTTTATCATCCCCTGAGAAAGACGATAATTAGTTTTACAGCTCTACTTAATTAGTATTTTCGGAACGAAAAAACCTTTCGGAATTTCGGTTAACATAGTATGAGTTAGCCCACCTACTGTAGCATGCTCTTAAATACACACTTGACAAAATCTGTCTATCTTACAGCTTTACTGTCGAAGAATTACATAGAGTAAGACCGACAGACAATTTGCAAAAACTACTATCTGCTGACTCCCCCCCTTCCGAATTTGTCGCCTATTAGGTTCACCCATGTCCAGCGAACTGTTACCTTTTCTTCGAACTGCCCATCAAGAGGTAACTCAACAGGCGAATGTTGCCGGCCCTAGTAGTAACTTAATCAAAACACGTGTTCACAACCATTGCTCCAAATCTAGACGTTAATGCTGATTGAACTAAATAGAACCCGCTGAATATGCATTTAAATGTGTCCTAAGGTGTTGCACTTACTGACTCCCTACCAATGTGCAAAGGCTGTGCAATGCTTTACTTTGTCGTATTTGAAGATTGCATGACATATCACAAGGAGTAGGTTTATCTACTACTAACATGACCCAGAATTCCTAGCAGAATACTTTTAGCTATGCTGACGCGACAGGATGCATTGTCCACGAGGTCAGTCCTGATTTGCTGTCAGAGTCATTCCTGCAAACAGCCATGTAACATGCCGAAGCAACACATCATGCATTCCTAATCAGATATGCGGTGTCACAGCATCCAATACGGCCATGCGCACATGCGACAATTTGCATAATAAGGTGAATCAGACACAGGTGGCGGTGTTGACAAGTGGATAATCTAGAACTGGACGGAAAGTATCAGACTGACTGTCAGTCGGACAACGTATATTGCCTCGGCAAGGGATCACACAGGGTCAGCCTGACAACGTTTGATGCATTACCTGTAAATGATCCATGCTCCGTAACCTGCAATGCGAAACCTCCTCGTAACACTCCTTTTGTGGTTCTTCGCATGTCCTATTTTCTCGAACGACATTTCCTCACAGACTGAGTCCTCATCGACTGCCGTAACGCTCGTTGCAGCCGAACAGGAGGGCATTGTTGGTGGAACGAGTGACAGTATAAAGGCAAGTGGAACCGAAAGTGGAGTTACCGATTCGGCCACGTTATGTAAACCCTGTAACATAGTCGAGGGCGTTATTAATGATCCGCCGTTAGAACAGACGCAGGAAACTTTGTTTACCTCTACTCCACCTTTACAGTCATCTCTACCCGCTGTCGAGGACGTCCCGGATGGCGAAGTAACAAGCGCACAGGTAGACTTCAGCACTCAGCTGACACCCGACCCCAGCTCAGAAGGAGAGCGTTATTCACCTGCTCAGACGCCCTTAACTTCCACGACAGAGCAACCAGCTGACACGTCACACCCGTCCCCTGAGACGGCAAGAGGGGAAGTTGTTCAGAGTGAAACACCTCAGAAGTCGGAGCCAGAGATTCCAGACAGTCTCCGAGACGTTTCTACTGAGGTGACGACAGCGCAGGGGAGTGAAACGGAGTCAACGTTCGCACTACTCGCCTCGACGCAGGGACTGACCACCGAACAGCCGGAGGGTGCTCTTTCTGTAGACGTTGCTGAAGAAAGGCCGCCGACCGTCGACATTACTCAGACAACTGCTGAGGAACATGTACCAACCACACTTGGGAGTTCTGTCGCTTCTACTGCTATGGATTTAGTGGTTGGGAGTACAACCCCACTGCTCCATCCCGCAGTGTCCACTGTTCAAGAAGCTTCCGACAGAGTTAGCACCGATGAACAGGCTATTTTAACTCAGCCAACAACCCTCGTGCTAGCTCCGTTGTCAGAAGGCACTTCGGAGGCGCCTAAGACGACGACCTTGAGCGTAAGTTCGCGATTGCACAGCAGTCTCACTCCTACCTCCGCGTTGGTCGATACCGTGACTACCGTGCTTGTGGATAACGTCACTACCACTGGTTTACCTGAGGGATCTGACCCGCAGTTATCTTTATCCACAGATGCGGACTCCTTGGTATCACAGACAACGGCGTCAGTGTACTCCGTGGGACCTTTAACCCAACAACCTGTTACAAAAACTACGGACGGTCCTTCTCCTCTGCCCTATACACAAGGAGTAACTGAAGGTGGTCCTTCAGATGCGACGATTCCTGAAGCGACTGGTCCTCCCGGTAGTCTGCAGATGTCCGTCATTAGCACTGGGACAGATGAAGTGACCACAGACTACACCTCGAAACTGGCAACTGCCCCCCATCCCACAACAGTTGCAAGCGATTCTCTGCTAACCTATACAGACGCCCCCACAACAGTGCAGGAAGTCGTGTATTCCCAGTCAGCTGACACAAGTTCACCGCATTCCGCAGCATCTACGCCAACTCCAACAACACTTGAAATGATGCCTCCCTTGTCGACTACCAAAAAAGACTTCGAGGAGTCTCCATCACTAGCAATGACGCATTCCATTTTTATGACAAGCACTAGTGCAATGACAGAGTTGTTGCCAAGTAGTCCCGTGACTAAAACAGAGTCTTATGTTTCTGGTACATACGAGCAGACATTAACGCCTACACCTGAGAGCAAAGTGACTGACCAAACTCCGCAAGACACGACTCAGCGGCCTTATGTTTCGACTTCGGTACAGCCTCCGGAAAAGGACACGGGCACACCGATTTTTATTACTACTGCGGGTGTTCCTTCTGCGGGACCAGCCTTTCAGGAAATGGGGAGTTTCAGCCAATTCACAGAAATATTACAACCGACCATGCTGAGTACGACGCCGAAATTCCCGCAGGACACAACATTTGTGCTGGGAGTTCATGAGACGTTTACAAAGGGATTAACGGTGGACGCTACTATTGGGCATACAGAAATGCCAAGCAGTTCCGTAACTACAGGACCCGGTTCTGAATCTCCTACGGGAGGCTCCGATGCGGAGCGTAGCACGAAATTGGAGCCTCCTTTACCTACAACTCAAAGTATTTCGACATTCAGCCCCGAATCAACTACTATGGGCATGACATCTTCAATCCCAAAAGTAACGGTGGACTTTACTACTGGGTATACAGAAATGCCAAGCAGTTCCGTAACCTCAGAACCCGGTTCTGAATCTCCTACGGAAGGCTCCGATGCGGAGCGTAGCACAATCCCGGAACCTTTTTTACCCGCAACTCCAATTACTTCGACTTTCAGTTCCGAACCAACTACTATGGGTATGACATCTTCAATCCCAATAGTGCCTTCATTTTCAAGCCCCGGCAGTGCGACCGACAATTTGACACAAGTCATCAGTTCTTCTTCCGTCACTGAAATGCCTGTTTCAGTAACGCCCCCGGGAGTCACACTGCCGCCGAGTGTAAAGACACAACTCACGGTGACATACACTAGTGTTCCACTCTCTACAGTCTCTCTGTCACAGTCAGATACCACATCGCTCACTGCATCGTCCGAAACAGTATTTATGACATCCACTGCTGACAAAGAAACAATATCCGATACATCGGCTTCCTTGATGCTGACGACGGTTTCGCCGGCTTTCCCAGTGTCCCAAAGTGCTATTAGTGAGACAACCTTAAAACCCACGGACATCTCCTCACAAGCTGTCGATTCTTCACCAAGCTCATCTATTGGACCAAGCTTTTTGTCCTCCACAGTGATCCCAATCACATCTGCAACGGTTACGTCAACTGTTGCAGTTACCGCGGTAGAACAACAAAGGAGTTCCACTTCGGTTACTCCTCCAAGCGCCTCCCAGTCGGTAGAGCCGCAAATGATCAGCGGAACCCCTACAACATCTCCAACCCTCTCCACAGTAAAACCCACTGAAACTGCTGTGTTTACGTCGGTCTCTAAAACATCCATAATAGCAACTGAAGTAACTACGAGTGCCATCGGGGCTGAGATTACAGTTGTTTCCCAGATATCTCAGACCCCTGATGGCGCTGAAGAAGTACATACGGCTCATAATGCTCTGCCAACTTCCGCAGCTCCTGCGACTGAGCAAGGAATTATGACCGAAGTAACTTCAATCGTAACTATGAAGACAGAGCCCGCAGGGAGTGTAGGCCCAACAGAAGGACTAACACAAATGGTGGAAACCTCCTCGTCAACCACTGCGCCCATTCCTCAACCACCTACTTCCACAGACACCTCTGAAATCACCTCGACCGACCGCCTATACCCCTCTGTTGCACCGGCCATTTCCAGAGGCTTAAGCATAGCCTCTGCGGTATCAATGGGTCTTATAATCATCTTTGTCAGTATCCTCCTCTGCGTTTTCGCAGTCTCCGCGGTAGGCGGCTGGTTAGAGTATCGTAAGAGGAAGCGGAGCCGGCGACCCCCGGCGGTCAACCTAGTGCGAGTGGAGCGCGGAGGTTCAGAGGACTTTACTGAAGGCTGGACCAAGGGCAAGCGACAGCAGCAGCAGCAGCAGGCCTGGATGACATGCGAGTCTGCTGCTCTCAAACCACACACCTCCGCAGCACGACAGGAGCCCCTCGGCAAGTTGGCGCGCCAATGCAGCTGCAAGCGACGACGTCTTCTCTTCCCCGGCAGACATCACAGCCTCTGTATGCTGCACAGCGAAGTCAAGCCGACTGAGGAACCGCGGGCTCTGCGCGTGATCTCCCTCAGTGACGAGGACGAGGAGGCCATCAGCTCTGAATCGATGCTGCTCTCCGGTATCGGTCGTAGGCGAGTGAGTGGGGCCTCGGAGGCGGCACTCGCTGAGGAACAGGCGAATGAGAAGAAGTCGACGGGCAAAAATTCTCCCATAGTCGAGACGGAAGACGGTGATACGGGCGATAGCAAAACGAAGTGGCTTTTCATCGATGAGGTCTAGAGGAGCGGTCTGGTTCGGTCTTCCCTTGCCCTTGTCCTCCTGAGACCAAACCTATACTGTTTCACTGGGACCGTTGCAAATATGTGATTGCCATTTTATGCTACTTATTGGACTGCACATGCCTGAATCGACAACGGCAGCACAATTTTACTGCATGTTCGGGGTACACGCCCTTTTCACTGTTTTAGTCACAACCTTGAATAAACCATTTTTAACAAAGGAGAAAATTCACCTTGGCCTATTCTTCTTGGTAGTTACGCCCGAATAAAATTCAGTTCTGCTGTTTTAAGAATTTTACGAGCCATTACTTGAATAAAGCTTGTAACTTTATTAAAAATGCCTTGCGATATATTCTCTGTTTTCCAGAACTTAACCATTTTTCATTCTGGAATCTTCATTCACAGGATAGCCTAGATGTAGCCATATCTAAGTATTATTAGAAGTTACAAATAAATGGAACAAAATATTATTGCACAAGCTAACAACAAATGTTCAAAATGTATTTCTTGCGCATGAACCTTCAGTGGACCTTGATTATATCGATTTCCACGTTCAGAACCCACCATCGATTTAGCCGATTTTTAATTTATTATTGCACTTTAAAATCGAAGAACGGGCCAGTGCTGGTAAGAATTACTGTCCATCGGACCAGAGTCATAAAGATAGAAAAGACCACTGGAGAGAATTATTTAATGATCTACCTACATCAGAATCGACAAGCTATGAATTGGTAAAGAAATTCAATTGAACTGGCAACATCACCAAAGCCAATAAACCTGATCCACTATAGCAAGATTTACCCCGCAGATATGACACTATATTGTAACTTAAGGTGATACTTATGCCCAATCTATTTGTAACTTTAAGTAATAATTAGGGTTTGCTTACACCTGAGCCGCCTGTATATTGCAGGATTTAAGACGATGAATGAAAAAAGAGGGAAGCTCAAATATATATATAAATATGGAAAGGTAATACCGACAAAGACAAGGGAGACCGGAATGGCCATTTCTGGCTTATTAGCCGTCATCAGCCAGTCATACCCAACCCCAAGTGTGGATCACTTGAGAGCGTTGGTAGAGCGTTCAACTCCATGACCAAAGATCCCGGGTTCGAATCTCAAGTGATCCACACTTGGGGTTGGGTATGACTGGCTGATGACGGCTAATAAGCCAGAAATGGCCATTCCGGTCTCCCTTGTCTTTGTCGGTATCATCTCATCTATGTCTACTACTAGTCGCTGTGCGACTGCCTGCGAGGGTTTAAGTATGAGCCCCAAGGCACAACGGAACGAGCATGTTCCGTAACCTGATCGGTGAGCGCCCACTATCATAATTAATATTCCCGATCACAACCGACAGGACAACGGGCCCGTGGCTCAATGGTAGAGCGTTCAACTCCATGACCAAAGATCCCGTGTTCGAATCTCAAGTGATCCACACTTGGGGTTGGGTATGACTGGCTGATGACGGCTAATAAGCCAGAAATGGCCATTCCGGTCTCCCTTGTCTTTGTCTGTATTACCTTTCCAACATATATCACAAGTCGCTGTGCGACTGCCTGCGAGGGTTTAAGTATGAGCCCCAAGGCACAGCGGAACGAGCATGTTCCGTAACCTGATCGGTGAGCGCCCACTATCATAATATATATATATATGCATATGTTGAAAAGAGATGGGTTCTTTGGGAAAAGAGGGTATATTGCGTAAATTTTCGACGCTGGTCCCCCAGGTTGTCGTCAGACGCAAGCGGAACGCAAATGTGAAACCAAAAAACAGCTAACGTCAAGAGTGCACAAAAAATCGATAATTGCATGGCGTGTGCGCCGGTAGGCGACCGCCGTGTGTCAGTCTGAGCATATGCATATATATGTTTGTATATTCATGTTCATATACAGGATGTTCCAGCAATGTATACACACTCCCACTTGTGGTGCCCAAGTCTGTCATGCTTAGACACATACCTACACCAGAATGCCAGGCAAACTGGAAATTAATCGCCCTTAGATATATTTCTAGAAATCGAAGCACTTGCTAGCATTCAAGTTGTATGCGTGAGGAGGATAAAAAATGCCTTTTCGATCGCCGAACAAGTTCTTTATTTGTCCGGGCTTTCCAAATCGTGCAGCAGTGTATAGTCACAGATACGTGCAGAATCAGAACAGACGACACACGTAGGGAGTATTTTGCAATCAAGCATTACTGAGACAGATTTGATGGCGAATGAACAGGCTCTGTATAGCGGCGCCGGATCAATTCATCGACTGGCAGAGCTCTCACCCGAGGCTCAAGCATCAGTTAATTCGTAAATTGTCTTGTTTCTGGCGTGGGCACTTATCTTTATGGCTGCGGCATCAAACTCGTGACCTATTTTGCAGGTGATAAAAGAAACTTGCGGTATTCTGTCACTCCGTCGCACAGTCAGTTTATGTTCGTGTATTCGTTATCCGAACACGCTTTCACCCTGTGTTGTTCAATTGCAAGGCCGGTCTGTGCAGGGGAAAAACACGTTACCAGGATTTAGTCGTTTTGTGATTATTAAGACCCTTCTGCCCGTGATAGCTTTGTCGGTGTGAAATTCCAACATCTTGTTTTGCACGGATGCACTCGCTCGTCTTTAAAATGTCCTCTAGGTATGGGAGAGCATGCTATATCATGGGTGCTGTTTTTGGCCATGTCCTCCAGAAATGAACACGTAGATAATCGTCCACATCAGGAACAGGGCAAACCACAAAATGATCAAGCCTTGGCCTCCGATACGAATTCAGTCAATCGATGCATCCATCTGACGTCGGTATGCATAGACCTATATAGTCATCTCTGGAATGGCTTCACGGATGTTTGATTAGCTCACAATCCCTCTAATTATTTTATCCTTATTAGTGTACTCCTGCATAGTTTTACCTGTACTGACAAATAAGAAAATTCTTTCGTCGATCCACAAGCTTTCTTCTTCCCTACCAATGTATACATTTCCACATACGCGGCGATAAAACTGGCTGAAACGAGATCAAGACTTTTTTAAAAAATCAGCACATACCAGAAAATCATCTGTTTGTTCAAACTAAAGAATGCACAGTGGTTTTACTACTGTGTTATGGGTTGTCTGACTAAGAGCGCCCTCAAGTTGGGAAACGGGAGTAAGTATTTTCATGTTACTTTATGCTGTGCACCGGAAATTGAAAATCAGTCCCACAGCCGAGCGAGTCTGTTTTTACAAACCTTACAGAGAGAACTGACCACAAATTCAAGGGATCGGAAGATGGAAAGAATGTCCAAATTCACAAAGATACCTCGCTTCCGTCAATATAATAATTTCGGATACACCGTAAAAGGAATAAGGTACTTTCCAAAACCGTCCGATCTTTCATAAAAAAATGCCTAGTATGCACTCACCGGCAACCTGCATGGTGATCGTAATTAATCTTAAATTTCTTCACCTATTACAAGAATGTATGCTGATAGTTAAGGTGTAACTACGTGTTCATGGGCATATGGGACGACAAAGTATCATAGGCAGACCAAGCCAGCGGTTCTAAAGTCCTAAAAGCAGCCGCATTTGCGAGATGGATTTAGCACTAAGCTCTACAGCATGTACAGGTGTTGCTCTTCTTAACATAACACCGCCTTCATGGTTGGCCGTGCAAGTCGCACTGCGAGAGGATGCGGTTTTACTCAAGACGAGGCGATTACATGTCAACGATGTGTCAGTCTCACACCTCTCGCATGCAGGGCTCATTTGCATCCGTACACACTCGTGTGGTCTGCGGTTGCTATGCTATTGCCGGCGAGCCTCGTCATCAGTGCTCACGCCTGATCTGCGTTCACACCGGCCTGCGCTGATGGCCGGTAGGAGGTTTCTCGCGTTTGCGTGCGACTCAGAATCTCGCCGCCTGCGCTCCGATGCTTGCGCGCCGGCTCTGTCCGTTTTGGTCTGTTGCTGCTTCTGGTCGATATTTCCGTCCGCGGTTTCGATAATCGAGCCGCGCACGTGGGCCGAGCAACGGCTTCTGAAAGTCGTTTCCTATGCCAGCCTTCAAGGGCTCTTCCGGCTTTTATACTGCCTTCTTAACCCATGACTCCGACTTCTGGCCGTCTTCGCATGCCCACGCATGCAAACTTGCAATAACTTTCACATATCTCCAACGTAGTACGTTATGCTGGTACGTCACTAGAAAGTACAGACGATCTCCGCCGTTCCATTCTGCGACAGGAGCCACTAGTCTTCATGATCAGCGATTGTATCGCCACCTCAAATGCGTACGCGATAAAATTCCCTTATAGTTGAAGGAGACGGATCGCCGTTCCGTATACGTTACCAATACACGAAAGCGTCCTCTGTACTATCTGTGGGTGCACTAAGGTCCTAAAAGTTAATTTTGAATGCCAGTAAGGGTGTTCTTAGGAAACTAACACCTGCTAATGGTAGCAAAATCGTCCATCATCTGCCACGTCTTTCTGTCGTGTGTACAATAGGTGGGCTAAATCATGAAATGTTGACCGAATTTCCGAAATGCGTTTTCGTTTCGAGAAGATTAATATAGTAGGGTCGTAAAACAGATCATCATGCGGGGTAATTCTATAATAATTTGGTTACCTTAGAACACCGACTATCGACCTAACTTTTTGTGAGGCTGCACGCAAAAACAGTATTCTGAAAAAAATTGCTACATACGTAGCACGCATTTTTCTTATTTATTTTCAATGCCCTCAAAAATTCAACAATATTTCATGGAAAGCATGCACAAAAATTCATTTTTTGCCCCCTCAGTAGGAACTTACGTCTTCTTTACTTTCATGCTCAAAGGAAGGGTATAATGTGGTTTTAAAAAAGTTAACATTTGGGAGATTGTTAAATACCATAAAATGGCCGTTCATAAAACGCCATGTCTCTGCATTTACCAATGTGGCTTGTAAAGTTAACAATATGGCTCAAATCCATTGTTAAATTTTATGAAAACCAGATGGCCTGCTATTAATGCCATAGAGAAATGCACGATTT